GGGGAGTGGCCTGCGTGTCCGGTGCTGGGCGCTGCCGGTCGCGGGGCGAGGCCTGCGTGCGTGGCGTGGGGGATGGGCGCCTGGGGCGGGGACGCGTGGCCTGGGTGTCCTGGTGCTGCCCGCCTCCTTGGTCGGGCGCGGCCGCGTGGCGTGGTCTGGGGAGGGCCCTGGGGCGGCGGCGAGTGGCCCGTGCCGTGTGCTGGCCGCTGGGTCGGGCGCCGCCCTGGCGTGGCCGTCCGGTCTGGGATGGCCCTGGGGCAGGAGAGGCCTGCGTGTGGCCGCTGGGTCGGGGCGCGGCCCTGCGTGGCGTGGTCTGGGGATGGCCCCTGGGGCAGGGGGAGTGGCCTGGTGTCCGGTGCTGGCCGCTGGGTTGGGGTGCGGCGCTGGGCGGGCGCTGGGCTGTGTGGGTCCCGGGCCGTGCAGCGGGAGGGAGATGGCGCTTCCGTGGCCGGGAAGGACAGCAGACCCCAGCGGCTCTGGGGACGGCAGGGGAGTAGGAGCGCTCCCGCAGGTCTCAGTGACGCGCTTTTGTGCCAGCTGGGCCTGCTGGCGCCTCTTGGCTTCTGCCTTAGCCCCGCGTGCTGGCCCTCGCGCCTCTCCACGGCTCGCCGGCTCCCTTCCTTCTCTTCCCTGCTCTTAGATAGAATATTAAAAACAAATTCAAGCTAAAGTAAAAACTGGTATTTGCTCGAGCCCTTCCCTATCGGGGAGACAGCTCCCTACCCCGAAGCTGGTTCTGCCTGCACGGCTGCTGGGCACGTGTCTGTCTGCGTCCCTCCATGAGGCGGTGGCCCTGCTGGGCCAGGCTAGTTTCGCCCCTGCACTCGGGCTGTGCAGTCGCAGCCACTGAGCCACCACCAGCGCCCTTCTCAGGACACTGGGCACAACAGGGGCCCCTGCGCGAAACAGGAGCTGAGGAAGTCAGTCCCTGCGGGACCCGAGGGCTGGGCCGGGAAGCTGGCCAGTGTCAGCATTGTCCTCGCTGAGCCCTACAGACAGACTTCAAAGACGTGAGGCCCGCACATTTGTAGCAAAAATATATTTTTGGTTTGTTCTTTATCTTCTAACTTTAATTGATTTTTTTTTTTGGTGTACAGATAAGTATGGGCCTTTTCCATGGTCAAATATCAGCACAACCTTTCCTTTGTGGTTTTTCTCATTGCTTTTGTACTTAGAGTCTTTTCCTGGCATTGGAATTCGTTACCTATGAACCATTTTTTCTTGGTGGTGGTTATGGTTTGGCTAATATGAAGCCGGGTCTATTTTAGCCTGTGCAGTATCAGTCAGAATTGACGATGATTTCGTCCCCTCAACAGTCAATCTCCCCAACACTGCTTGCTGAGTGCTCCATTCCTCACTCCTCGGTCCTCTGTGCAGTCGCTTCTTTCTCTCAAAAACAGCTTTACTGAGTTATAATTTATGTACCGTAAAATACATCCATTAATGTGTACAATTAAATACATTTTAGTAAATATATGGAGCTGGACGACTGTCACCACAGTTCAGCTTGAGAACGCTTCCATCACGCCAAACACAGCTCGCCCTCTTGCTGCAGCTGCCACCTCCACGCCACGCGCCGCCCGGCGCTCCGGCGCTGGGTCTCTGCGGACACCTGTCTCTGGACGTGGGGTATGAGTGCGCACGTGCCGTTTGCACCTGGCTTCTTTCACTTAGGCAGTGTTTTGTCGTTCGTCTTTGTGGTCACATGTGCCAGTAGTTCTATTTCTTTTTATTATTGAATAATATTCAGTTATTGGAATATGACAGATTTTACTTATCCATTCATCAGTTTGATGAACATTAGGCTGTTTCCACATTTTGGCTATTATAAATAATAGTATAAATAATGTTGCTCTGAACATACATGTACAAATCTTTGTGTGGATGAATGTTTTCATTTGTCTGGGGTGAATTCCTAAGAGTGAGATTCCTGGGTCATGTGATAAGTTTATATTTAACTTTTTAAAGAAACTACCAAGCTGTTTTCCAAAGTGGCTGCACTATTTAACATTCCTATCAGTGTTGTATGAAGGTTCCAGCTACTCTACATCGTCGCCAACGCTTGTTATTGTGTGTTTTTTAAAAAAGTTACATGTTCTTTTCTATATTTTAAATTGGAATAGATGCAAGTCTTTTTAAGGGTTATTACTTTAAAAGGATTTCCTTTTAAAGGATTTCAGTTCTTTCTATAGCATGGGACCTAAACAGCTGTTTCCCTACTTGATGCGCTCCTATCTCAGGCCTTAGTAACTTCCTCGAAAGCTTATTTCCTCTAAAATATAAAGGGAAGTTAAGTGTATTTATTTCCCCTCCCCTGCTCAATGCCTGAAAAATAATTGGAACTCAGGGCCAAGTAAATTTTGGCTTTGTTCTTTGAGCCTTGAGGCTGCTCCCTTCTTTGGTCTTTGGAGATGGTGAAACAGCATGGAACCGTTGCAAGTCGTTTGGGGTTTGGGATGTGGCGGGCTGAGCAAGGCTTTCTCCATGTTAATCATTCAGGAGGTTTTTCACTGAGTACTTTGCTCTGCGACCTTCACCCCTGCTTTGGAACTGCTTCCAGCTACTTCCAGGGACGTGTGTTCTGGCTGTGAGTACTCAGTGAGCACTCAGATCTGGCCGCTCCAGCCACCGCCGTTCCTGGCTCTTTGCTTCTGCTTAGCGCCTTGGCGCGCTTGGTCACAGCGCCCCGGAAAACGCTGGGGTTTCCACAGCGCAGAATGGAATGGTTCATTCTGTGTTGTTCCTCCTCCACTCGGGCACGTCACCTGCTCTGCTCCTGGCAAGCCTTCCAGGTGGGCTGGCTTCTGCCCCACCCGGGCACGGCAGCACCTTCTCCCTTCCCTTCAGGCACCTGCTGCTCCTCCCTCCCCGACTTAGCTGTGAATCTTCGCGAAACCGCTGGCGACCTGGTGGCAGGTGCCTCTCCTCTCTTTGCCTCAGTTTCCTCCTTTGTAAGATAAGAACCCTAACACCAAGTTGCAGGTGGTGGGAGGATTAAACAAGGAAATACACTTGAAGTGTTTAGATTGGAGTGTGCGGCCTGCAATGTGCTCAGTGACTGTTAGTTAAAAGGAAGCAAAACAGAACCAAGGAAACAACAACTGTGCGGACAGACGTGATTAGGACAAGCCACCCTGCATGGACTTTGACCGGTGAGTCAGAGGTGGCCTAGGGTCAGCAGGTTGCTGGTGGTCGTGGAAGGATGTCTGGGATTTGAGGAGTGACTGAGGCAGAGGGCTCCAGGACCAGGGGCAGGTGGGCATCCCAACCCAGGAAGGCCAGCGGGAGGCAGGCGGATGTGGGGTATTGTCCAAACATAGAGGGTGCTGCGTTGGTGCGGGGCCTTCTGACTCTACGGAGGGATGTGTCCCCTCAGATCAGACTCCTGTTGTGACCCAGGATTTCCCCACTTTGTCCTCCTATGTGCTTAAACTGGGCCACACGTGAGTTGCCAGGGCACCAGGTCATGGAATCACAAGTTGTTCCCAACCTGGGCTGTTTCCAGTTTGGGGCTACTGTGCATAAAGGTGCTGTGAACTTTCTAGTATAAGTCTGTGTGCGTGTGTGCGCGTGTGCATGTGTGTACGTGTGTGTGCACGTGTGTGTGCGCATGTGTGCGCGTGTGTTCGTGCGTGTGTGCGTGCGTGTGTGTGTGTGTGAGTGCTTTCACGTTTCTTGGGTAAAGACCTAGGAGTGGGATTTACTCCAAGCAATATTTACTTGTGTAAGAAATTACTGGAACATTTTCTGAGAGCAATGGCCATTTCCCATCCCTGCTAACAGCGTATGAGAGTTCTAGGCATACTCAGCAAACCCACCAACAGTTCGTGTTGTCAGTCATTTACATCTTGGCCACTCTAGTGGGTGTGTGGTAGTACCGTGATATGGTTAAATTTGCATTTTCCTGATGAGAAATCATGTTGTTGAAATCTTTTGTCCACTTAAAAAATTGGTGTCTTTCCTTAGAGTTGTACAATTTCTTTACATGTTCTTGATGCCCACCCTTTGTCATATGCAGTTGGTCCTCATTACCGTGTATGCCGTATTTCCAGATTTGCCTACTTGATGCAGTTTATTTGTAGCCCCCAATCGATGCTCTGGCAATTTAGTGGGCATTTGTGGACATACACGGAGCCAAAACAATGTGGGTCAGCTGACACGCGTGAGTCCCCAGCTGAAGCTGGGCGGGCGACTGCCTTCTTTCGGCTGTCACACGGAAAGCAAGTGTCCTTTACACGGCCTGGTTAGCGTGGCGCCTTTCGTGTGTCGGTGCGCGGTGTGGGGATTTCACAGTCTGCAGTAGCTGCAGCGTTGTGCTGGCGTGCGGTCCGGGCTTCCGAAGTGCAAGAAGGCTGTCACGAGCCTTCTGGAGAAAACACGGGCGCCACAGGCACTGTGTTCAGGTGTGAGCCCTAGACGGTGCTGTGGGCCGTGTGCGTGATGGCAGTGCGTCAGCAAGGAAGAGTAAATGAAGTGTCTGCAAACAGAAACACACATGAAACAAGGTTATGTGTTGATGGCTGATGACAAAGTTATCACCAGAGGCTCGTAAGAACCTTAGCTCCCCTAAGGACAACGGTTCAGTGTTCACGAAATTGGCGTTTGAGGTACTTTATAGAACATAACTACCAGAAATAATGAGACTCAACTCTTGCAGATGTTTTCTCCCAGTAGGTGGTGCCTGCTCATTCTCTTAGTGATGTCTTTTAACAGACAGTAATTTTACATTTTGATGAAGGCTAATTTAACAATTTTTTCTTTTGTGGTTTTTGCTTTTCCCTAAGAAGTCTTTGTCTACACCAAAATAATGAATGCAGTCTATGTTCTCCTCTAGAAGTTTTATAGCTTTAGTTTTTATTTGGGGTCTATAATTCATCCCATACCTGTCTCCGTGTGTGGGGCAGGAGTCGAAATTCATTTTTTCCTGCGGGTATCTGTTCACATTGAAGCGGCGCCCGGCATCCCATCATTTTGCCCTCATGTAGTTCGGTATGTATTAGTCACTTTGGGCTGCTATAATAGAATAGCATAGACCAGGTGGCTTAAACAACAAAAATTCATTTCTCCCAGTTCTGGATGCTGGGAATTCCAAGATGCAGGTGTTGGCAGATTTGGTGCCTGGTGAGGGCCACGACCTGGTGTCCGGACTTTGCCCTCTTGCCGCGTCCTTGCACAGCAGAGAGTGGGGAGCTAGCTAGCTCTCTGGGGCCTCCTTATAAGGACACTGATTCTATCCACCCTTATGACCCAATAGCCCTCCCCCCAGTGGCCTCTGCCTAATACCACCACATTGAGGGGTAGGGTTTCAACATATGATCTGAGGGTGGGCACAAACATTCAGACCGTTGTGATAACATGCATGGACATAGATTCAATGGAATGCAACCTCACTAAAAGCCTGTGGGCACAGCCTGCCCTCAGTAGAGGCATGCTCTGGCCTCTGGTGCTAACAGTGAAACCTCCCGCAGCCTCTGGGCTTTGGGGAGGAGAGTTGGGCTGGCTGCATCCTTCCAATCCACAGGCAGCACTTGGCAGGTTTTCTCTACCTGAGTTTGTTATCTCTGGCCCCTCCCCTGTCCTTGGAGTAAATCCCACATGAAGTGGGCACCAAATAGTCAAAACACTGTCAAATTCACAGCTTCAGCTACTCTGAGTTTAGAACTGAGGAGTGCTCCCTTTACCAGGTGTTAGTACCCCGTAATGCTTTTGCTGTTCAAGTCAGCCAGTTAACTCACTCATTTATCCAACATTATTTACTTATTTCCTACTGTGTCCCAGGCACTGTGCTGGCTCTGGGTGAGCAAGACAGGCGAGACACCTGCCATCTGGAGCTTCCGTTCTTGTGAGGGAAGGGCACACCGAGCAATGCGATTCATTATTTAAGTCACATGATGCTGTCATCACTAGAGTGCTTTGAAAGAAAAGTACGGGGGGCCATGAGATTGTTCTGCAAGGGGTTTGACCTCATCTGGGAAGGCAGGGAAAACTCTGAGCCAGTGAATTCTGAATTCTAGAGGGAGGAGAGGCATTGGCTAGACGAGGTGTGTGTGGAAGAGAGTGGGGGCAGAGGCGGGGCTCTGGTGGAGGGAACAGCATGTGCAAAGGCCCTGAGGTGGAAGGGACTCTGGGACAACGGTGGTGGTGAGTGAGGACTGGGCCACCAAGATTTGTGAGAAAGCGAGGACACGTCAGTTCTAATGCATCAGTATACAGATGCAACATGAGCATTAGAAACAAGTGCCCAATAAACCCCAAACTTCCTTTCTGTTTCCTGGAGTCCTGTACATGCAGCGTGTGCACACAGTTGAAAATCAGGTGTAAAGGCTCTATCTGATGCTCTTACGAAATCGAGACTAAAACTCTCGACTTGCTAACAGACACATTCCACATACTGAATGGTCCAGCACATGTCACTTTAGTGTGGTATCTCTGGCACTCTGCCAAACAGGCTTTGGCTGTGGGGATGCCCTGCAATCTGCTTACGCATTTACTGGGTGTGAACGTTGGCTTGTTTCCATGTTTTTCATGGCCAGGCCTGCCAGGGCCGGGTCCAGAGGTGCACCTTCCTCCCAGCCCGGCTCCCACGGCTGTCGCCAAGGCCGCGGCCACGAGGAAGTGGCTCCATTAACCCTCCCCGGGAGGACTTTTTCTCCCTCTGGCCTCCTCTCCTGAGGAAATTCAGCATCCCCAGAGCTCTCATGTCGGCCGGCCTCAAATGCGAACGTGCAGCGTAGCTCTTGCCCTTCCAACATGGCCGGCCTGCTGAGAGTTACAGGGAAACTGCAAAGGGCCTTGGGAGCCAGACGCAGGCTTTGAGAAGGGCTGGGTAGGACTTGGGTGTCACAGTTACAGAATTCTTTCAGTTCACAGGTATCACTTTAATAAATTGTCTTTTCCACTTGACTAAATTCTGTTTTGTTCCCCAGAAAGGAGGCTGGCTAAGGACTGACCACACTGTTGTCTGCCACCATGTTTAAATTCCAGATCAACTTGCTCATATTTCTGACAGCCTCTTCTGGGACAGTTTCTTTCCACTGTAGTTACTTGCTTAAGGGCTGTTACAATAATCAACATTTTTAGAAAGCATGAAAATGTTAGTTACACAGCTAAACAGAACAATCAGGGACTCTGCCACCTCTCCAGTGAAATCCTGTTGTTCATTATCACCTGTGTTGCATTATTCATGGGCCTGCTGCCTTTCATTTAATATATGAAATTAGGTTCTTATTCCTCCAAAAAGTGAATAGTTTAATTATTAGAAGTATTATATATTTGTTGTCTAACTTGTCTTCTGACATTGCTCAGTCCTGATGCAATGGATGTCGGCCACATCACACCTTGATGTAGAAAGGGATGTTGGGACGAGCACTGGTGATGACAAGACATGGCAATCGGATTATTGGCACCACGCACTGTCAGGGTCCCCAAGGCAGGCCCACCACCCACACTCCCTCCCCTTAACACACCTTTGCGCATGTGCGGAGAAGCCTCTGGCAGAATAGCCTCTGGTCTGTCCCAGGCAGCCCTGGCCCTCCCGGAGTGCTGGGTGTCCCCACAGGACTCTGTCCTTGGCAGGCACCAGGCCTCTGCCCCACGCAGCACCTCCTGGGTGATGATCACACAGGGAACGGTGGCTTCTGAGAAGTGGGGCATCTGGGAGGCCGAGGGAAGAGAGAGTGGTAGGGGCCACGCGCTGACAGCCAGCCACTCACAGAGGACCAAGGAAGGAACTTCTCATCTGTTACCTTGGACGCCATGGTCAGAAGGAGCTCTCAGCGACAGCAGGGACAAGCCACCAGCCAGCCTCGGGGTGGCCGACAGCAGGCTCTGTTGGCCTGAGGGCCTTGTTACCTCCGCTGATCTGTGCCATGTTTTCTTGCCATCACCTTTTAGCAGTGAGTGAATTTTTCTATTAATGGTATCTGCTGCCACTGAATGTGTAGCCTTTCTAGGGTCCTGGGTTTATATGATAGTCCCGGCCACAATTCTCGACCATCTGTGGGCCAAGCCCTGACTCTGTTCCCCCAGGGCCATGCAAACTTGGGCCTTCCCTGGACTGCAAGCTCAGCATCCCTTTACCCTTCCTTGGGCAAGAGAAGCACCCTGTTGCCAGCACAGGCTCAGAGCACTCAGGCCCTCTAACCATGGGAGTGGGCACCGCATTCAGCTGGCCAGTCTGAGTCTTTCTCAGGAATTTGCTTCCTGAGCTGAGACAGCCAAATGCAAAGGGGCAAGAAGCGAGCTGCCCTGCAGGAGGTTCTGAAGAGCCGGCTGAAGTGGCCACTCTGCTGGGGGTTCCAAGCTTCTCAAGGCCTAGCTGCCTGCTATTCCATCACTATGCTCTACTGAATAGTCTTCCTATATTTTTTGTTTGTTCTAAGTTCAACAGATTCATTTCTCTGGCTTACAACTAAAGAGCCACACTCACATGCTCTTCCTGCCATCAGCATTTCCTCCGGAGGAGGTATTAGGAGATGGTTCTTGGCCACCTCCAACTGCAAGGGGCTGGCAGGAGACAGGACTACAGAAGTCTGGTGTTTGCCACGTATGATGACCCTCACGGAAACGCAGGATGCATAGATCAATACAGAAATGCAAAGGTAAAAGCATATTCCTTTTTATCTTCTAAATAAACTAAACTCTACATAAAAAATTGTGTTGAGTGATGAAATCAGTAGTGTAAATCATTCAGCAAAACATTCTGAGAATGTTTGAGTCATCAGATGAAGTTTTGAAATGATTGGCGCGATCTGTGGTTTGCTCCAGGTAATCCTAAATGGGGCCCACGTCTGAGCCCTGATTGAAAGTAGGAAACTTCAGGTACTTTGTCATGACTGTGGCCTTACCAGATGGCCATGGCACCCATTAAACAGATGGCCGTTGGAGAGACTTCTGACTGTGAGGCGCTGCTCACGAGGCGGGACCGCGCCCAGATTCTGTTGGACTAGCTGCGGTGGGTCCAACAAAGCTCAGCTCTTCTGACCCTGCTCCCAGCTGACCGGCCAGGTCAGTGGAGATTGCTTTTTGGAATAAAAGGTTTATGAAGTTAGCTTAATTTTATTAATTTGTCTTCACATCCAACAGACAATATGTCATTTGGCCAAATTTTATGATTCAGTTACTGGAAAGAACTTTTAGTTCAATGTATTCTCTACTTTTATTATTAATGTCATACAACACATACAGTTTTTGTAAAATTTATTCAGACAACCTAACTGTTTTTCTCTTGGGGTTGATATTTCACTTTGCTTTGTTTCAACTGGAATATCATAGTCCTTTAGTGCTGTGATAGCTTCTGTCATTTTCATGAATATCTTCACTTTGCCTTTTATGTTCAGCCACTTTTGCCATTCCTCTATTAATCTATTATTAGCTCTAACAATTTAAATTTTCTTCAAGTAAAGCCCAATCTCTAGAAAAGTTTTCATTTTCCAACATTTAATGACTCCCACTTCCCACGTTCTGTCTGCAAAGCCCAGGCTCCCAAACTGCCCTTGCAGAACCACCCTGTCACCCAAAGAGTTTTCAATTTTTCTTTATATTGATTTCTTTTTTCTGCACATACTGTTTAATCCTCTCTGAGGCTTATTTTATATGTGGTTGAAAAAATAAAGTTTATTGAGAAAAGAAATAAAGTTAGCTGATTTATAGGTTTTATTGCATTTTTCATAAATAAATAAATCCAGTGTTGTGGCTGGGAACAAGCCAAACTAAATTTTTCCACCTTCTGGATGGAAAGCCATGTTTCCTCTGGAATATTAGGCTGCACCACCTGGACAAAACCACACAATGTATGCATGTAAATATTTCTCACGGAAACCCATGTTTTACGTGCACTGACAATAAAGTGTGCTATATTGTTTCAGATATCTTATTTTTTTTCATTTAATCCCCAATGTGATAATATCAGATATGTTATAGTATCAGGAAATGATTAACTTATCTTAAAAATCTTGGATTTCACGTTTTAAGTAAATTCTTACAATTTTTATGCTAAAGAGTTAAAGATTCATTAGTTTTAACTGAACTTTTACTGTCTTCCTGTATATATTTATCCAGAATTGTTTTCTTATTTTAGTCAGATATATATTTTATAACAAACTGATTCCATAAATTTGGACTATAGTGATATGCTCATATAAATACTATTATTTTAAAGTTCTATTAAATGTATTATGCATGAAAATTCCAAATTATTTTAACTACACAGTAAAACTTAAGTTGTGAAAGTATCTTCTAAATGCAAACTTCATTTATTAATATCATTTGATAAGCGTTTTTCCAAATGCTTTATTGTATGTAACTGAGTAACAATATTGTCATGATTTCTCATGGATGATTATGAATTTTCTTTATTTCAACCATGAACTTTACCACTGCCCATTCTGATAAAATAAGTATTTACCACTTTCAACCTTTTATGATACAGCTTTTGAGTAACCCTTGCATCCAACATTGGCTTACTAACAACAAAAGTAAGCCATTCTCTTTTCTTGAAATTAAGAAATTTTCATTTCAGGAAAGACGAATTATTTCATTGTAAAGTGCTGCAAGTTATTCAAAGCATGGACTCAAAGGGGCAGACTGGCCTCCGTTTCTACCCACAGTCACAGAAGACTGAGAGGGGAAGGGAAACTAAACCCACGCTCTGAGGAAGGGCGGGACAGGCCGCGTCCGGGCAAGGCTCGGCAGCTCGGCCTGCGGGGCAGACCCTTGGCTTTCTCCAGAGAAACCCAAGAGAAAAGACCGTTCCGGGTGAAACCGCCCGGTGGCTGCCAGGCACCCTCAGGGACGCCCACCCTGGAGGCACCTGACCAGTCCCCAGACCCTGTCAGCGCTTCAGTTTCCCTTTCGGAACCCAGACAGCCAAGATCCAGGCATTCAAAGAAAGCAAGCTTCTAACAAAAGAAACAGACATCAAACTCAAGAGAAAGAGAAAAAAGGGAAAAAGGAGAAAAAAAATAAAAATAAAAATTTCCTGATAACTATGATTTGTAGCCTTAAAGAAATAAAGGGAGATATTGCCCTAGGAAATAAAAGCAGGGAAATACAAAAAAGAATATTCTTAGGATGAAAACAGGTTTTGGAAACCAAAAAAATATGAATGTAGAAATGAAAATATTAGTGGAAATACTGGAAGAAGAGCAAGAGATACTCCCCAGAAAACAGACTTTAAAAGAAGATGAGATAGAAACTAGCAGAGAAAGAGAAGAACATAAGAGGTTTAATTTAGGAAGTTTGACATCTTGACAAAGGAACCCTGCTAGTAGAAATCAGAGGCAACAGAGAAGAGGAAATCACCAAAAAAATTACACTTTAAAATTCCTAGAATAGAAGGACTTGAGTTTCCAGTTTGAAAGAATCCACTGAGTCTCCCACAAAATGAAAGACAAAAGACCCTCACTAAAGCACAATCGTGAATTGTCAAAACATTGAGATAGAGAAAGATCCTAAGATCGTGCAGTAAGAAAAATGGGACCCAAGCTAAAGACTAAATATCTTCCTAACAGCAACACAGGAAGCTGGAAGGCAATGAGGAAATGCCTTCCTAGGACTACGGGAAGTTGATGTCTCACTTAGACCCTAGACCTAGAAAGGTGAGCACCTCAGTGGGGGGTGTGTGTGGGGCGGAAATATATTTCCGGTCATGTGAGTTCCTGAGGAGTTCTTTACAAAGGGAACTTTGTACCTTTTCCTAAAAAGCTGCTATTGAATGTGCTCCAGCAAAATAAAGGAATAAACCAAGGAAGGGATGGACATTAGATCAAGGTAAAAAGCATGCCCCCAATCACCTGGTACCCTGAGGTTGCACGGGCAGCAGCCTGGAGAGCAGTTGGCCCAAAGGGAGTAACAGGAAGAGGGTTTCAGAAGGCCTCTTTTTAAGAAAAAAAAATGCAACTGATAGAATACTTGACATTTTTGAATGCTTCGAGAAAAGATTTATGTTTCTAAAGGAGAGTTTTCAACGAATTTTTAATAAGTACAAAAAATGATAAGCTGCAATACCTTACAATGAAACAGATATCTATTTCTAGAATGAAATGTTAATAACTTGCTAATTTCAAGAAGGACGAGTGGCTTATTTTTGTTGTTAATGACATAAATGTTGGATACAAATGTTACTTTAAAGTCTTATCTTAGTCCATTTTCTGTTGCTTATAACAGAATACCTGAAACTGTATAGCTTATAAAGAAAAGGAATTTATATCTTACACTTATGGAGGCTGAGAAGTCCAAGGTCCAGGGGCTAAATCTGGTAAAAGCCTTCTTACTGGCGGGGACTGCAGAGCATCACATGGCCAGGGGCTGAGTGTGTTAGCTGAGGTCTCTCTTTCTCTTCTTATAAAACCACAAAACCCATTCCCATGATAACCTGTTAATCCATGAATGAATTAATTAATTCATGAATGGATTAATCTATTAAAGACAGAGTCCTTATGACCCAACCAACTCTTAAAGTCCTCATCTTTTAGTACTGCCACATTGGGGATTAAATTTCCACATGAGTTTTGGAGGGGAAAAGTATTCAAACCTTAGTAGTCATTAACAGTTGAAAATACTGAATACATATTTTACTCTGGTAACATTCACAGTTCAAATATAAAAAATTTGTACTTATCAATGAGAAAACTTAAAATAACATTATGAGTCAGTTACATATAATAAAGCATTTGACATATACTCGTGGGGAAAATTTCTTGAAGGGTATTGATAATAGAAATGAAAAAAACATTAGAAAATGCCATCAGAATCTGTACTTGTTTTTACTGTATAGTTATAAATAGTTGAACATTTTCAGACATGGCATATTAGTAGAACTTTAAAAATAATATTGATATGGACATATCAACACAATCTAAATTTATGGAATCAACTTGTAAAACATGTATCTGATTAAAATAAGAAAACAATTTTGGGAAAAATTTCTGAATTAAGACAGTAAAATTTTAGCCATCATGAATGGGATACATAGTTTCACAGCTGCAGTATTTTGAATTAGCCTGCTCACACTGCCACAACAAAATACCACATTGGGTGGCTTAAACAACAGAAATTGATTTCTTAATTCTGGAGGCCGGAAGTCCAAGATCAAGGTGCCGGCAGGGTTGCCGGGCTGGTTCCTGGTGAGGGCCCTCCTCCTGGGTCGCAGACAGCTGCCGTCTCACTGTGTCCCCGTGTGGAGGGTAGAGTGGAGAGCCCGCCTGAGCCCTCATCTCTTCGTCTTCTTACAAGGGCACTGGTCCCATCAGGGTGCCCCACCGTCACGACCTCATCTAACGCTAATCACTCCAAAAGCCATTCCACTGGAGGTAAGGCTTCAGCATATGAGTTTCGGGAGGGGACACAATTCAGTCCATGCATATGTTTTATCTTTCAAGAGAGTTTTGAAAGGGGCACTGCCTCTTTGGAAAGCTGAATGTATGTATGCCCTGTGATTAATCATTTGAATCAGATGAAACTTCCAGAAAAGTGTTAAATAATAATGCTGACAGCAAGCAATTTTTTTGTTTGTTTCTAGCTAAACTGGAAATGTTTTTTTTTTTTTTTTTTTGAGACAGAGTCTCACTTGTTGCCCAGGCTAGAGTGAGTGCCGTGGCGTCAGCCTAGCTCACAGCAACCTCAAACTCCTGGGCTCAAGCGATCCTGCTGCCTCAGTCTCCTGAGTAGCTAGGACTACAGGCATGCACCACCATGCCCGGCTAATTTTATATATATATTAGTTGGCCAATTAATTTGTTTCTATTTATAGTAGAGACGGGGTCTCGCTCTTGCTCAGGCTGGTTTCGAACTCCTGACCTCGAGCAATCCGCCCGCCTCGGCCTCCCAGAGAGCTAGGATTACAGGCGTGAGCCACCGCGCCCGGCTTTGGAAATGTTTTTAAAGTAGATTTTGGTTGTTGTTCAAAGGTGGATAACACTGTCTCCTTTTTAGGTTTCTCAAATTTTTATCACGAATAGGTATTAAATGTTATAAAATTACTTTTAGTGATTGAGTGAATTTTTTCCTCTGGCCTTTCATGCTGTGTATCACATTAATATCTTTGACCACTTCCGTGCGGCGCTCGCAGGCCGACACCTCGCCCACAGCCGGCGCTCACCGTCCGCGGTAGCTTGTGCTCTGCGTTGACGACGGGTCCGGTTTGCTCCTGTGTGATGAGGAAGGCTTGAAAGCACTGACAGCTTGTTTCACTTTACAGGCAGCTTTACTTGTCATGTAAATCAGAACAGGTAACATATACACATATGTTTTCATTACGTTATGTTTAAATGTTCGCAATTCTATTTTAATAAATGACAAATTAGAAAAGTCATATCACGGCTGTCAGCTAAAGTCGCTGTGCGCGTTCTTCTGTGGCTGTCGACTACAGTCAACGCTCTTACAGAAGTGGTTAAACAGACTATGTTTGGGACTTGTAGGGTAAATGCCACTTGGTTGTGGTTGAGCCAGAATGACAGTGTAAATGTGTAATTTGACCACTAGATGGTGCTGTGCCCTCATTTGTGTTTGTGTCTGTAGCGCAGCAGCCCTAAATTACTGATTCCTTAACACTTGAACATTTGAAATTTAATATGATCCACAAAGTATCACCCTCCTTTCAAGTTTCAATTTAGTGCTCCTAAATTAGGAATATGCTTTAAAAATACTTATTTTCTTGCATATATTTGGTCTGTTTTACTGGGGTATAATACACAATAAAACTCAACAATTTTAAGCATACAATGCAGAGAATTCTAACGACTGTATATAGTCTAGTCACCATGGCCATAGCTGTAATTGTTAGGGTTTGAAGTCGGACGAAGCTGAGATCTCGGAGTTTAGGACAGAAAGAAGTGCAAAGTGCATTTACTCCCTCTCTGGAGAGAGCGGCCGGCACCAGAAGGCAAGGCGAGGCAGGCCCTGAGGCCTACCCACTCCCTCCATCCGGGGGGCTGGGGAGGGGTGGGGGTTATGACTGCAGCCCAATCAGCAGAAGACAGCTGAGAAACTACTGTGTTGGC